TGTATACACCTGTTCTGCCTTGTCGTTCTCGCCTAGTTTCCATAACAGTGAACCCATTCGCTCCCATCCTGTTCCAGTGATCTCCTCTCGCATTCGTTGTGTAAGAGCATCAAGCTGTTTGTCGTCATTTTGATTAGTGAGTGTAAGCTTAACTTGCCATATGGTCATTCTATTCTCTTGTATTTGTTCGATTTTTAGGACGCGAAAAACCGTATTTGTTGAGAAGAGAATCTCTTTTTCGTTCGAAAAGCAACTGAATTCACTGATGCGAGCGAATGGGGTCGATGAAATCGATCGATCAATAACCATTTCGAAGAGAACACCAATTTTGTTCTCGTTGCCAGTGGTCGGAGAAATAAAACTAATAGCAACACGGCGATCCTCACTTGTAGATAGAAAATTATTAAAGGATACGAGTCCATCTTGTTTTATATTCTTTTGAAAATCTGCATTGCTCATAGTTTGACCTCGAAAGACGGAAAGTTTTGTAGTAGTAGATTCATGGATTATTTTCGATTGTTCTACATGGAGTTTCTCGATGTTTTGATGAATGTCACGAATGAAAAAGCCCATTTTGAGGAGAGTATGCACATGTAGAGAGCGTAAAGCTTTGTTGACTAATTGATACGTAAAACATTGCCGACTATACCACCGAATGGCCTTGTTCTTGTCGACATTTTTTTGATAATCGGTAGCAAATTCATCGATCATTTTCAGTTCTTCTTTGTTGTTAACATACTCCTTTTCGTTACGAGCATACTCGACGAGATTTTTAATTTCTTTCTGTTCATCGAAATCGATTTCAAGAATAATTTCTTTCAAGAGCTGTGTATACATAAATGATGGTTCGATTTGGTTCAATGATGATACACCAGTAATTCCAATATCATCTTGGTCACATTGTCGAGCAGATTGTCGAACTGCGTCGCAAACTGAGGTAATCTCGGTGAAAATACCTTTTACTTTGGACCAATTTTTTGCCCATTCTTCATATTTTTCTTGTTTTTGACAAAAGACATAAATAGAATGTAGTTGTATGGTGTCATGAATACGTGGCACAACACTTTCACATAGAGCACCCGAAATAATGAGCAACGACTTTTCGTTTTGAACTTGTGACATGTAATCAATACATTCATTTGTATCATGAAATATTTCAATGGTATTAATCGTTCGTCGTAGTTGTTCGATAGAATTGAGATGATCGTCGCTGGATTCATCGATGTTTTCGTCAAGCCAAATCAAAAGAAAATTTTGAATAATTTCATTTGTGTCAATTCGATGATCCCTTTTCCGAAGACGATTTGAATTTGGTTGCTGATTCAAAGTAGAAGATGATGATAATGGTGTTACTGTATATTGTGGATTCTGACTGAGAGAATTTGATACTTCAGATGCACCACAACCCATATTGATTGATTAATTGATTATATGTAATGTGAACAAATTATATGTGTGATTTATAGGCAACCTGAAAACACAAATGAATGAATGCTATTCTAGTACGAAGCTTCTTTATTTAAACGAAAATTTTCTTTGACGACTATTTTTCTATCTCAATTATCAATTCTTGTGTTTTATTAGTACTGAAATAGGTAGTCTGGCTGGGCGTGAGTTTAAATATGAGTATTGATTCCACTCATGCTGATACTCAGATCATACAATCCATTATAATGACACAGTGAAAGAATGGGGATTCATTGGTTAGCATCAAACGTTTGCAAGAAAAATTCCATAATTTTTCAAAAACTATGACACTAAAACATTCTATTGAATTTCGAGCAAAGATCTGCTAAGGGAACGCTTTTTATATCGTCCATATGGTAGGTGGATGTGGATACTACCTTCTTTTCATCCACAATGTAAGTTATAAACAAATAGTCGTGATTGAATGACAATAAGTTAGAGCAATGAATAAATGAACACTTATCGAACGCAAAAGATGTGAAGAAAATCGTTCGTCTCTTTAGACAGGGTTTAATTCTTCTTTTTGCTGACAGTTTTTTTGGTCGATTATTATATGAGTGTGTGTGCGATTTGTAACTACAGAATTTCTTATCTTTCATTTCAAGAGTGCACAAGATAAGAGTCTGTATCAAATACCAATAACGAAACGAATGCATTGTCATCAAAAGAAAGAGAAGAATCGAGAAATCATAATAAAATGAATATCGTTCTCGTTATTACCAAGCTTTTCTCCTACTTAATCGTGGGTATGAACTGCTAGAAGTTATGTGTTTGACACCGATAAGTTTAAAAACAAAGACATTCATTCTGAGGACATGATTTTTCAATGAAGAAACAACAATATATTTCAAGAATGTTATTTCCTCTTATCATTGATCGACTATTTTGCTAGTGGATATCACGCTGTTGAAATGAATCTGATGAAAGATATCAAACAGAAGAATGTAGATTACGTATGTTCGGTGAGATCAATGATAGATGATGGCAGACAACATACACGCTGATTAATCCATCATAGGATATAATGAAATATACAGGTTTGTTTGAAATAATATTTACCTTGCACGAAAAAAATGATTTATGTATATATATACATTTTTTTTCAAGTGAAAAGATGTTTAGTAAATAATTCTAGTTTAAAATATTAAATATACATAAAAACATCATTAATCGTGGGGATCATGATTGAGTTTGATTCGTTTGTTAGCCATTTGCATTTCATTTGATGGACTACTATTCTTTGGAAAGCATACATGCAGTGAAAAACAGTCTGTTTTATATAATATATCTTGTTTGTTCATTTGAAACCATTCATAAAATAGACTCCAGCATGGCATCTCATAGAAAATGAATTTGGCACTTGATAAATGTTTGCATCGGTCAATAACAATGATGACTTCATTCAAATCTTTCATTGCCACTTCTAAGTATTTGAGATGAGTGGGTATCATCGAACAAATATTATTCGCAGTTAAGTACGATTGTGGAGTTGACCATTTGTGACAGATGAAAAGTGAAGTGACGTTGCATGTTTGTCGAAGCAATCTTGTGATGTCAGCCACCATATTAGGATCGGCGTTGAGAATTACTGTACCTGTCAACACAATTTGAGTAATTGCCGTCAGATCGATAAACATCGACACAAATGCAATCCAACTGGTAGGATAATCATCACCAAATGCAAATGCGACATTTTTGATTGTGTGAAATAAGGAGTTGTTTGTTGATTGTCGCTGCAAAAGTGGAAAATAAAATAAAATGAATCTTATCCAGACTGAAGAAGGACGTATTATCATTCAATAAGATTTATAGAAGCTTTAAATTAGTTTTACTCACTATTATCTGCTGTATAATATTGTTAGACGTCAATTTTTTAAAATTGAATCGAATGAAACCAATAGGATTAATATTTACTCTAATTGGTTCATGCATGTCAATTGCCGTAGAAAGCGTTGAAATGCAAATATTTGTGAGTTCAACGTTCAACTTGAAAGAAGGCAGACAGATTGGTATCGAATAGAGCCTGATCTGGTTTGGCTGATTGATATCGTATTCACAAGTGATAAACCATTTTTTTAGTTTAAGCCAGAACTCGGTTTGAAATGATTCTATAATCGATTGGAGATTGGGAAACTGTGAATGATCAGTTCGGTTTTCAACGAAAAAAAACTCGAATTTGCTCAAAACAGGCAAATTTATTCGAATAAACTGTTCCCAGCGATGGCCATCTAAGAGATTTACATAACCAATTAGTTTGAGATGAGTTATAGAAGACATCAGGTGAAGAAAACATTCGAGACAAGCAATTTCCGTGTTCAAATATTTACACAATAGTGTAGTTAATTGCTCAAAATGTACTGAATTAGTTTGTTGAGTATTATTTAAAGACAAAGAATCAATAATAAGTGTTTGTAATCGAGGCATATGTTTAAGAATTCTGTTGATCTGAAGAAAATTTATGCAAACACCTATATCCAGATATTCAATTGTATATTTCTCAGGCCAATCGATTTGTTCTATTCGATCCACTGGAATATTCAGTACAAGTTTTCGAAGTTTTGCTTGTCTGAGAATTGATGAAATAAGGTTTGCGGTTCTACTTTCATGCCGATAGGGCGTTTTTCCGATTTCAAGAGAAAATGACACGAGTGAAGCAATATTAACACGTATAAAAATATCTCTAAACTGATTTGCATTTATTGCAATTAATGTTAAGGAATGAACTCGAGTGAATTGCCTTCGGCGAAACATTTTCCTAAATAATTCTACTTGATTAAATTTTTTAACTTCACCGGAGAATATTATTGTTCGAACTTTGCAACAATTAATCACACGACAAAGATGTTGAAAATTGGGATGCGTAAGTAGTCGAGAATCGAATATGTATTGATCATAGTTTTCGATAACTACTCTTAATCGTCGACATGTATGCCGAAGTGATAATAGTATTGTCTTTGCATCGAGATAATTACAAATATGATGAAGAATCTCCACTGGTAATTTCTGTAAAGGGGAATACTGGTCGTTCGACATTGATTCTTACGTTATAAATTGCCAGTGAGTAGATTGAATGAGGCTGAGTCACCAAAAATACCTGCGCACACTTTTTCACGTTCGCACGGTGAGAGCAAGACGTGTTGTCTTTCCTCTCGTATATGTACAAACTAGACAAATATACAAATCGTGTCAAGTGAAAATTTCAAAAAAAAGAGAAATTATTTATTTATAAAAAATGGATAATACAAAATCAAATGAATATAATGAAATGACAAGTGAAGAAAAAGACAACTTATGTGATAACAATAATATTATAATACAAGATTTAATTTCAAAACATAATAGACAAAAACAAAACAAAACAGAAATTTTGAATCTAAACGAAAATGAAAAAGATAATTCAAAACAACAATTCAAAAGGCAACTCACTTCTACAAGTCAATATGGAGATGATTTAAATGTTGATCAAGATAGTAATTTTCAAGTGATTACAAATCCCAATAAAAGAAAACAACAAAAATTACATAATAGAAATTTACATAAAGGTATTAATAATAACAATATATACTTTAACGACCACAATAGTCCGCAAACACCATCAAATAATAACGGACGTTTATTCTTTAACAGAAACAGAAAAACAAACAATTATACATTAGGTTATTCATATGAACAGCAAACTGAAATGAATCATCGTGACACGAGAAAGGAAAGAAAAAATATATGTCAAACTTTATCAGCTAATGATGAATCAGAACGAAATAATATTAATCAAATGAAAAATGATAAATATCATAACACAAACAACACAAACATTAATATATCCCAACATGCATTAAATTATGCAATTGAACAACACCTTCCACTAATCTACATTAAATGTAACCCAAAAGTATCAGATAATACAAAAGCAAAAGGAATAATAAATGCACTAATTACACACATAAAAGATGATTTTTATAAATTAAATAAATACTATAATCAACCTTTGGGTTTTGAATATTGGTATATTAACAACAAGGGTGATTTGATATGTCACACTAGACAAATTGAACTCTATGTATATTTAAGTGATACACATAATTATCCAACATCAGTTGAGTCTATTATTTTAGAACCTCAGAAACCAAAACATCTTCCTGGACAACATTCTCTAGTACTAAAATATGTACCAAATTATATTACAATTGATGTTATTCAAAATGAAATTGGTATTGACAAAGATCTAATTTTTAACTTAGAAGAAATGAATGGGTCAAGAACAGATAAATATAGACATATACGTCTAGAAATCAAAACTACGAGTGAATATAATAGTTTACTAAAGAAAGGTGGAATTACGATTGATGGATTATTGATTGAAATTAAAGAATTTCTCTCTCCTCCACGTATACTAATATGCACCAAATGCAATGATCCAGATCACGTTCGGAAAAATTGTAAACTAGGATATGAAGCATGTCGTCGATGTGGTGAAGACCGATCAGTGGGGAATCACAAGGAATGCAAATTATGTTGTCATAGATGTAAACAGGAACACATGGCTACAGACTATCAATGTCATTACATAATCGATTATCGTCGTTGTCTTCTACAACAACTAAAACAAAAACCTTACTTACTACCTCCAAATGTTCAAATTTTTATACCAACAGAATATAGAGAAAATGGAAACAGAAACAACAAAATTATTAATAATACCACAATGAACAACCAAAACAAGTCAATCGCAAGAACAAGTGATAATAATCAACAAATACCATTTAATATTAAATCATTCAGTTGGCCTTCACTTTCAATAAATCAACAAAATAATAATTCAAATGTATCATCCGAAGAAGCAATATGGAGTGAACTAAAAAGAACACAATCTGAAATTGAAAAAATTAATGTAAATTTCGAAAATAAAGTAAAAAACTTACAAACAAAATATAACGACAATATAATTAAATTGAAAACATCAATACAAGTTTTAACCGCCCAAACAAAATATCACAATGAGAATACTCTCTAAAAAAAAAGGAGCTTTGCAGAACCCTTCGAAAAGGTTCTGTAGATTTCTAAAAGACT